GGCTGGTACACACAAGTCATGTCGACACACATATGCGCGTGTGCATGCACGTACACAGACAGACATACACACACACGCATACACCCGCGCGCTCACACACATGGTTCAAGCACGCACGGCCCTATTGCCAATTGCTAAACCTGTTTTTTTTTGTATGAACCATGAAGTATCTCGGTAGAACTACAAGTAACTTAGTTGTCCTTCGAAGCAGCCAACCCTCCTGCATAAAATTATCCAAATTTAGTTTACCCACTGGAAAATATTACGATCATACTTCACTCGCTAACAAAGTCGAGCAGCTAGTTGTCTGGAGATTCTGTACCTCACTCGCTATATCTTTCCTTACATTTTCAAACCCACTATGCCCAATGTCCTGCTTACCTGCGCATTGCAGCATTTCAAAACTTGCACAAACTCTTGAGCGCATGATGCCATACGGAACTGTCACACTCTACCTGAAATTACTGTTCACCTACCATAGTCTTTTGGGTCTCATACCTAAAATTTTTTAGCACCTAAAATTTCTGCAAATTGAATAGTCTACGTTAAATTTTAGATGCGCTGATGCAATCATATGTAGAGTACACCCATACACAGCACTGTACTCCAAGAAGAAGTTGTATTTTTTATGCCCACTTTGGATTTTTGTTTTGAATTTTAAAATGTAGCCGTGTTTTGACCAATAGCCCCCCCCCCCCCCCCCACCATACACACCTGATGATTTTTTAGTTTTTTTCTCTTAGGTTCCTACGTTGATCTAGTCAACGTTACTTTAGAAGCCTAACAATGAAGCACTAGTGGTGTGTACATGAATGCCTTGCTCGCCATCATTGGATGCCTGCTTTATATTTGTAACAGATCACATCGATTTGAATATACATGTACTTCGAAGTAAACGACTGGATTTCATTTCGCAGGACTGTAAAATATTTGTTACAGTAGATCTACGTTTGTGCCTTGCATCATTTCGCAGCCCAGTGTGTTCGCAGGTCTAGGACAGCGCAACGCCCAGCGCGCGTACTCGAGTGACGCGACTGGATTTCATTGAGCAACACGGTCTGTCTACAAGGCTGTAGATCTACAAGAGAACATGTACAGTGAAGCCTGTCTAAGACAACCGCTCAAGGGACCTTCAACATGTGGTCTCTGTTGCCAGGTGGTCTCCGAATCCAGGGTCGTTTGACTGCAAATACTATTATTAAAAAAATTATATTAAAGGGGAAGTTAAGGCAAAAATTAAAATTTCACCAGTTGTAGTCTTCGGGGTGCTGAGTCGAATGGTCGTGGTCCGAGGAAGCTGAGACGCTCCCTTCCTACTTGAATCCCAATCGAACTCGCGCACTTCCACCGAAACTGGGTGACTGCGCCCTACTAGATGGGGATTTGTATGCAAAATGTCACTAAATTCGCCATTTCGTTCTTATAAAAGCATGGATGACCGCGATTGGCCCATATGTTGTAGTCTTTTGGACGCTGAGTCGATTGGGTTTGGTCCAAAAAGGCTGCGATGCAGCGTTCCTCCTTTATTCCCAATCGAACATGGTTGAACAAGCGGTCACGTGCTCGTGCGTACACCAGTCACCTGGTCACCGTGCCTGCAGGGTACAAATAAATTACTTACTAGCCTGTTTGACCTTTTTTGAGTGCAGTCCTGTCACTCGAGTTGAACTCGAGTTGAACCTTGGTGTGAAAGTTGTCGCCTGCTGGCGTGGTGACCAGGTGATTTGGGCACCCAGGAGCACGTGACCGCTTGTTCAACCATGTTCGATTGAGAATAAAGGAGAAACGCTGCATCGCAGCCTTTTCGGACCAAAACCAGTCGACTCAGCGTCCAAAAGACTACAACATATGGGCCAATCGCGGTCATCCGTGCTTTTATAAGAACGAAATGGCGCTTTTAGTGACATTTTGCATACAAATCCCCATCTAGTAGGGCGCAGTCACCCAGTTTCGGTGGAAGTGCGCGAGTTCGATTGGGATTCAAGTAGGAAGGGAGCGTCTCAGCTTTCTCGGACCAAGACCATTCGACTCAGCACCCCGAAGACTACAACTGGTGAAAATTTTATTTTTGCCTTTACTTCCCCTTTAACATCCCTTGGTCCTGGTTGCAAGTGGTCTTTTGGGGCAGGTGGTCGCCTTTTCAGAGTGGTCGCCTTGACAGGTTTTACTGTAGATGACTTTGCTACTCAATCCTCTGCATGATTGAATTTTGTTGCATTGACTGTAGGCCGTGGCAACTGCACTGACAGTGTTGGCTGTCGACATGTCCTTGATCCTCCGACGCCAACAGGGACCAAACTCCGAAGCCCCTCCAGCCTGAGGCTGAAGCCTGTGCATAGCCCATTCCCAGTTCAGTTACTGAGTCTGTCAGTCTGTCAATCTAAATCCACTGCTTTTATTCTGGATTTTGGAAACCCGTAAATTTTTCTTGTCACTCGGCCTTCGATCCAGGACATGCAAGTGTACATCTGATTCCTACTTTTAGAAGGTTTTCGTTCTGAATTACCCTATTCGACAGTTGCGATGCGTTGAAAATCTACTTTGATCGCGACAGAGTGAAGAATTTTCGAAAGCCACCAGGCACCATCGATCCACCGACCATTGCATGATGACCGTGAGTAAACGCTGCGAAGGCATGTGTCACCGTGTGACATGTCGACAGTTCCTTGTTTGAATTATTATCTACGAGAAGTTAGTTGTTCCGCCGCTCTGGGTCGTTTTCTTGGGGTACATGGTTCCGAACAGCTTCCTAGCCGTCCGAAGAATTTCCTTCGCTCCCCGTAAGCCACAGAATTCCGAGACTCATTCTGCTCGAGGGAGAGAAATGTTTGTTCGCGAAGCAGGTCGACGGTAGAAGAGTGTTTTAAATTTTAGCACAGAAGGAGTTGCCCGTGATATGCCATATGGAGATTGCTGACATCGAAGGGGAGTGATCTCTCAATCTGAATGACTTCATTGGCACCGTCAAGCGCTGGAGACTACGATAAACTAACCCGGCCGTCGTATCTCTGTGCTTATCAGAGAGGGTTGTGCCTCACCTTGCACTGAGGAATTATTATTGGAAAGTTGCTGCAATATCCTCTCTGGAAGACCGGGCGCTCGGAGCAAATTTCGCTACTCCAGCGTTATCCTACCGCGTGGCTGTACGGGACGGTTGACTGGTCCTGCAGTTACCCACATTCCTGGGTAAGAAAATCGCGTCGTGACTGACTGGAACCACTCACTCGGAATTACATCCAGCAAGTCAGAACCGAAGAAGGCAGTTGCGAGCCGGCCACAAAGGTGTGCTTCTAGTGTCCTTTGCCGCTGAGCGAGTCCGGGTGCAATGGCTACCAATCGGCGGCAGAAACGAAAACGTGAGTTGGAAATCGAGCATCGCTCCACGCCTATCGCAGGTCGCTCCGGAGGAATCAACGGCTACAGTAGTTCAAATGGATACGGCGGATCCAGCGCCAGCTCGCCGTATAGCGACCTATCATCGAGTCGGAAGCTCACGAAGCGCTTCTCTGCGTTCTCTCTGCAGCGACATGCTCAGGTAAGTACACTCCGTCTACGTACTGGAGAATGAATCAGTGGTTGAACCCGATCGTGTGTGCTAGTGTCATTCTGAACGCAGTTATGAAACAAGTGGGAACATGCCGTTACACAAGTACTGTAATAATGACTGATTAGAGTGTTTGCAATGGTAGGAGATAATGATTTGGACAAAACTCACTCTCTGGCCAACCTCCTCCACCACACCAACAACACAGCTCCAGTAGATAGATCCACCAAACCTTCCATACAGCTGTTTTGAAAATAATTTATACAGTTGTCGTCAGTGAAAGTCCCAGGAGTACTAAATGGCTAGAGTGTTTGGATAGAACTCCATTTATCCGTTTACTCAATCTCCGAACTCCTTTTTATAAACAGGCGAATCACTGTGAGAATGAAAATAGTGCAGTCGTCTGCTTTGAGGCGGCATAGGGGCTAACATGCACGTGAAATAAAGTGCAAGATCACACTGACACATCAAGCACACGTATGGCACGGCAGACACAGGTACACAAAATAGTTTAATCATAGACCATAGCATACTGAACAAATGCACCGAAATGACGCACCGAAATGACGCACCGAAATGACGCACCGAAATGATGCACTGAACTAGCACAATGAACTAGCACATTGGACTGGCACATTGAAGTGCGAAAAAAACTGAAATATCCGAGTGAAATACCGCACCGAAATATCCATGACAATGAAATGCAACAATGAACCAACACACTGAACTGGCACATGGAACTATTTCTCTCAGCGGGCATACTGAATAGTGGGGTGATGGTCTGAACTATCACCGCAATACTATTCAGCCGGCACTTTGATCTTTTGCATCTACAGTGTTATTGTACAGTAGAACCTGTAACTAAAGACCACCGTGACTAACGACCAGCCTGGTACTACAGACCACTTCAACAGGCACGGACGGTCTCACATTCGTACATGGTTGGGTGGTGCAAACCTCTAACTAAGGACCACCTGCCATTAAAGACCGCTTTCTCTGGCACCAAGGGGTGGTCGCTAGTCACAGATTTTAGTGTACCTACATGTATACCCATGACACCTTACAAACATAGTGTCTCTAGCACGTAATCTCCGTGCATGCTAGCACGTCTAAGAAAGTTGATAGCCTTCCCACACTGGAGCTCAAGCTTTCCCGCCCCACTTAATCTGACACGCGACTGACTCACAACTACCAGCCAGAGGGTAGTGGCCATCTTTCCTATGACGTTTTCACGCAACTTACTTACTACCCAGTATTACATTAGCACTTACATCACCTCAAAGCACACTATTGCACTTCTTCATTTTCACAGTTCTTCTCTGTTTAAAGGAGAGCTATTCAAAAAACCCTTTTGAAAAAAACCTTGCCATGCAATATTCCTGGAAACTTCTGTGATAAGAAAAGTATGATCTATGTACCGTAAAACCTGTAACTAAAGACCACCGTGACTAGCGACCAGCCTGGTACTACAGACCACTTTGCCAGGCATGGACGGTCTCACATTCATTACATTATGGTAGTGCGGTGCAAACCTCTAACTAAGGACCCCCTGCCACTAAATACCGCTTTCTGTGGCCCCAAGGGGTGGTCGTTAGTCACAGCTTTTACTGCAGCTGTAGGGAGGAGTTGTTGGGATTATCTAGTACGTTATGGAAGCCGTGTTTCTAGCATGGTAAACGAGGCCAACTAGAGAGCAAATGCGGTGGGAAGTGTGACTAATGTTAATGATGAGGAGGCCAAAGGATACCGCTTACATTGCTTGCCGTCAGTGAAGAATGATTTATGAGCAATGGTCAGTTCCGATTCCAAACATTTTTTAGAACACGGAGGCTCCACTGCAGCCAATTCATATCATGATCAGTCACCATCATTACACAAAGGTCGATGACGCTGCAAATTTCTGCACTCATATCACCATCACCACAGCGAGGACAATTCCTATTCCAAACAATTGCGTTAAGTGGAAATGTTACAAGGACTGTAGTGGTGGTAATTGAGCGCAGTACTAAGCGTTTCTCACTAACCCAAACACTTGAGGGGCCTGGCGCATAGCTGATGCTAGTGGGAATATTAATCAAAACATCGTTTGTGTTCCCTGCAGACAAACATGACGGGAGAGGAGCAAAGAGAGTTGTCGTCGCTGCTCAAGCAGTACAAGAGGAAACAGCTCAGTCTCGAGCAGCTAGTCAACAGCTTAAAGATCATACTGGACACGCCAGCCAAGCGCCAAGCTATACTCTCCATCAGAAACGAGGTACAGAGTATTGGCATTTGTTAGGGCAGGCACCACGTTCTAGGCCGGCATAGTGGGATGGTCCAAGTCCTTGATTTGGAAATAGAAGTTGGTCTGCTTGGTAGCTGAACTAGTCTTCCTACCTGTTACCGTGCTGCGACGGGCAGTCAATGTGGATTCTGTGCCCAGGCACGGAGGTAGCGTGGATGCAGAAGATGGAATTTTCGCTCTGTGACCCTGCACTTTGTGGTGGTTCCGATCTACACACCACCCTATGTTCTGAGTCTGTTATAGGTGCTGCATCTGCACCTTGATCCTTGAGGGTGGTGGCATTCCTTGGAGTGAGAATAGTTGGTGTGACTCTCCCCCATGCTAACCGTGGAAATATAACCTGTCTTTGGCATGTGTTGTAGACTGAGATATCCTGGTGGGTTTTATTTCCACATGTAGATGCATGTATACTGAAAGCCCGGATCTGATACCCAAACTCAGATTGTCCAAGAGTCACTTAGCGATCCTTTTCGTATTCCCCATTTCTTGTGTGTTGTCGACACACAGGTGCCGTCACGTGAAGTCTCGACATTCGACAAGCTCGTCATCACACAGCGACTCTGGCCGCCGAATGCCGCCGCGTCCTCGTCGTCGTCCAGCCGTCCCGTCTCGCCCAGCACGGCGTTTGGCGAGCAGCCACGCCCGCGCTCGCACACCTCGTCCGCGCCCTCGTCCTCGCGCCCAGTCCACTCGCCCTCGCGCCAGGTGCACTCGCCCGCGTCCTGGTTCAGCCGCGAGGCGAACAGCTTCCGGCAGGAGAAAGTCAAGCCAATCAAGGTAGGGACTAAGTGTGTTTTGTTTATTTTTATTTTTATTTTATTCCAAGCAATACATGGCTGGGGTAGCCAATGATCACTTTACGTGGCGATTGCAGAGTTTTTACAGCCAACCATGGCTAACAAGGAAAGAGTAAGAAGTTAAAAAGAAAAGGAGTCAAGAAGTGAAGTATATTTTAAGTTAAAATGGGAATGTGAGAATGTGAGATGCATGGTGTGGGACGTGCATGAGAGATTTGTAGTCCGAAACCGTGAATTTCATCATGATAGCACCATTAACAGCCAATGCCAAAACTCCTGACCAATAACGTGAGTTGCCGTCACACGCAATGTGATATGTTTTCAAGCAGAGTGCTGAGTCGGTACCCTAGTAGCCAGCCAACAACAAACAGTAAACCTTTGTACACGCTCAACAATTCTTATACCAAGGAAACTTGATCGATTATACCTTTTCTAGTCATGATGCAACTCCACGATAAGGATGCAGAAAGCGTCCACTTGCATCTTGAACAATTTAGCTCTGGATTCTGCTAACGTGGTGATACTTGGAAGTACCGTATTGTGTCTTGTAGCATGCATTGGGCGTTTGTTGTGCTTTGGTTTATAGGGCTGAAACTGTCGTGATATTTCCTTAGTGGCTTAGCTGACACCTTAGCGATCGGCTTAGCACCATATTCTCACTCCCTTATGGTGCACACAACAAAATCATGGCACGGGATCAAATTTTTGGAAATCACTTTCATTCCCATTTCAAGTACAAGTACATAGTTTCTAGCAAAACATTTTTCTCGCCGGTTCCCACTACAGTTGCCTGCATGCACTCACTGCATGATACACGTGAACTGTTGCCCCGCACTGCAAGCTCCACGCCGTGAGCAGCGAACATGCACTGCACTAGTACACGGTCAGTTTCGACGCGACCCAATGAATGCATGTACGGTAGAAACATTACACCTCTCGTCGTCAAAATTTGTACTTTTCCAAGCCGTAGAAACATTACCTCTCGTCGTCAAAATTTGTACTTTTCCAAGCCGATAGGCTGATAGCAACTAAAGTACTCATTCTATTATCTTTTCTAACGAGTAATTACCGAGTAAACAGGTGTTTCGGAGACAGCAACTCTAATATGGCAATCAAGAGTACTAACTGTGTGCTAACCATGCTTTATTACAATAGTAATAAACATGCGAGAGCAATGTAATTGCTGAGTAATCGGTATAATCGTTTCAGCCCTGTCAATGATTTCACATGTACTGATGGTATGGATTTGTTGGTGTTCATCTGCCGTACTGCAGATAACAATATCACCGGATGTAGAGGGTCTGCTGGGGTTCTCGGTCCGTGGAGGATCAGATCACGGCCTGGGAATATTCGTGTGCTCCGTGGACGAGGACAGTGAAGCGTACGAGAAGGGTATCCGCGTCGGCCACGTGATACGCAAGGCGAACGGCGTCAGTTTTGAGCGCATCACGCAGGAGAATGCTATAGAGGTATGTCTACTGGAATATTGTCACATTTCACTGTGTTCTGGTCAGCAGAGAATCCACTGATGATGCCCAAAGAGTACATAACCCCCAAGAGTGTGCAACTGCCCGCATAGACCGCAATTTCTTCATCATTTCTAGGAACTGGCCCCTGGTCGGTGAGAAGGCATCCTTGCCTGTAAATCTGATGAAGTAAAATAAAACAATAATAACAACAACAACCCTATGCAGTGCTGTGACGGCGGAACTTCACATTACGTGACATGGTTAAAACGGATATGCTGGCAAACAGTGCAAAGTCACCTCAAGAGAGTTGAACCCAAAACTGGGTTGCGTGCAACCCTGTATCTATCTTGCACAGAGTGCAAATAATGTGTACGTGTTCATCACGTGATGTGAAGTTCTGCCGTCGCAGACCCCATAGCTGAAATCGCACACTCTTGGGGTTATGCACTGATGGTGATAGTGATATGGAAAACGTGTTGGAGCACATCCTCTGCTGCTATGGTTATGAGCTGAGTGTGCACATTGTTCTATCCACTGTGTTCAAGCGAAAATTCAGTGAAACAAAAAAGGAACATATTACCTCAACTCAGAGTCTCATAATGTTATTCACAAGTTGAGAGAATGGAAAAGGGAAAAGTCTGAAGAAGGAGAAAGGCTGTCACCAGCAGGACTCGCACCAGGGACCCTCGCTTGAGGCCAGCGATGCTCTAACCACTGAGCTATGGTATAGCCATCATCCCAGCAGAGTCGGTTCAATATCTTCTCCAGAGAGACTTTTCAGAGTTTCAAGCTCAGAAATTCTATTTTGATTATTTACCGTGTTCAAATCACTGGGAGCGGTTTTTCCAGCCGTGCTACTACCCACAGTCAACTGGGAACTTGTGGCCAGGCACAAGGGGTACATGGATGTGGCTAATGGGGTTTCTTGGCACTTGTGCCAGTGGTTGCGAGACTCACCCACTCATCACCACCGCCGTTAGGAGCTGCATCTGCCGCTATGGTCTACCGGGTGTTAGCGGTCGTCTTGAGTTCCCTTCGGCAACGGACACGATAATTCCATCACTACTTTTCCACTTGCTCTGACTATGTCTGTACAGGTACTAACCGATGGTAGCGTGAGAAAGATTCGCCTGACCGTGTTGCCCCTAGCCACGGCTAACCCGGATGGCATGGTCGGCAGTCCCGGTGCAAACGGTTCATCTAAACATCCAGTACTCTACTACACCTGGGTGAACAAACACGGCCGATCCACATCACCTCCGCCAGAGTACAGGTCCGGTATCGATCTCTTGCATCCCAATGCAAGCCTGCCGCGAAGCAATATGAAGAAGGTATGTGTGTGAATGTGTGTGTGTGGGGGGGGGGGGGGGTGGGATGTGTGTGTATGTGTGTGGTGTGTGTGTGTGTGTGTGTATGTGTGTGGTGTGTGTGTCTGTGTGTGTCCTTTTTGAGTGTCTCTCCCTTCTTCAGGGGAGACCCACGTGACCAGTTTTGGCAGTGAGCAACAAGTACAAGTGTGTGTATGTGTTGTGGATCAATGTGTTTTGATCGATTTCATTTCTCTTTCACATACTTTCAGCTGAACATGGCAAAAGAAGACAGTCGCAGCTTGGGTATCACTATCCGCGGTGGGTCCGAACACGGTCTCGGTGTCTACGTGTCGCAGGTGCAGCGTAACAGCACTGCACATTCACACGGTCTTCAGGTATGCACGCTTGTGTGTTTAGCGTATACTTTATGCGCGAAGGCAACTGACTTCGCAGGTGTGGATCCAGTACTTGTAATAATTATGAGGGCGTGTACGCGCATACTGTGAAGTAGCTTTTACATTCAGACGGTCTCCGGGTACGCACACTTGTGTGCTTAGCGTATACTGTGAACTACTTTATGCCCGAAGGGAACTGACTCACATGTAGCAGACGTGGATCCAGTACGTGTAATACCAGTACGTGTAATACCAGTACGTGTAATACCAGTACTTGTAATACCAGTACTTGTAATACCAGTACTTGTAATACCAGTACTTGTAATACCAGTACTTGTAATACCAGTACTTGTAATACCAGTACTTGTAATACCAGTACTTGTAATACCAGTGCTTGTAATACCAGTGCGTGTACGAGTATACTGTGAAGTACTTTATGCACGAAAGGCACTGACCTAAAAATAGATGTGGATCCAGTACTCTTAGGACAATGTTGTGTACCATACGCATGATTTCAGTTTTGTCCCCTTGCTCAGCATGGTCTTCATAGAACATGTTTTCTTTCCCAGCTGTAACCAGTAGCAGTACATACATTTCGTCTGATTCACCATCAGCAGATATCTGGTAGGGTTGATACAGGGACATTGGCCACAGATGTGTACATGTGTAATATCAGACAGAATAAATTATTGTGGTGAAGACGCATGTGACCGTCGTGCCTTCTATATCCACTACTGAGTTACAAATGCCTTCCAAATCCTCCAATCAACGATTTGGTTCAAGTGCATGCTTGTTTGCAATTTTGAAGCCAACTTGCTGGTTTTTGCGAAATCCTTTTTCTGGCCTTCTTTAGGCTGGAATATACCTTCAATTGGGCTAGTAGAAAAGTTTATAAATGGTTTATCAAATCTCCACGGCCAGAAGTAGCTTTGCCTTCGCTTCTCATGTTATACCTCAGGTTGGTGACCAGATCATTGATGTCAATGGCGTGTCCTTTCTCAACATCCTTCACAACGAGGCTGCAGAAATGTTACGGTAAGTTCTCCACATTCAGGATAGATATAAGACAGCCGCTTGCAAATGAATAGCTTTCTACGTTTGGACATCGCGGCAATATTGTTCCTGTTAACACATGACGGTCTCAATTTTGGCATCAGGAACTGATCTGCGGAGAGTATTGGCATATTTATCAATTATCACCTGTTTGTTCCCCATCCCCATTCCCCAATTTGGTGGTGGGTCTCATCTACACATCTCCCACCGCTTAAGGAGCTTCCTCTGCGCCTTGGGTGATGGTGCTCCTAATGTTGTGGGAAGCTCGGTCTCAAGCTGAGTGTCACGTGAACTGGGAAATGGTTTGCCCCCCTGTTTCGTGGACATCTTGAGCCAGGACTGTGGTACGGTTCTATGACATGACAATATGATTTTCGGCATCATGAGATAAACATTGGTATTCACTCATTCCAATTCCCTGTGATTTCTGGGTATGTTATTTTGTTTCAGGGAGAATGAGATGCTTGTGATGACGCTTCGTTCACTGGGCAAAGTACCGGAAAGGCCGATCATCCCGTTCGACAACATCAGAAAGCATAAGCGCAAGTAAGACCGATGGAGAATTTTGTCCTCTCTATGTAATTCTATTCTTTGGCTCTAGCTCACACAATCACACACCATCAAAACGGTCTCTCTGCTACTTCAAAGTACAATTTTTCGGAAAGTAATGGAGCAGTTTTAAATCTCCAAATATTCGGGCCAGCCTTATATCCTGGACTTGGCTATCCATTCAAGTATGCTGGACTGCCTACATACATAGTTTTGATCGGCATACCGAAAGACCCCTGCATCCGACATTGGTTTGGTTTCACACGCTCCTGCATGGCAACAATACTACACAATATAATCCATTCCCCGGTCCGCACACAGTGTTCAATACTGCAAAGTACAGACTTTCCTTACAGAAAGCAGAACGGCAGTCTTTTGCAACTCGATCATCGGGCAAAATGAAAGTTAGAATTAGTTGGCCTGCTGTTCGCGGGGTGTGAAACTCAATGCCGCATTTCCTACTTACGTTTAATGCCCAGTCTCTACCAGCCCGTATAAAGGGAGTTCTACTGTACAGCCGTTACTTTCTAATACATACAACTGCTAGAAGCGTATTTCCTCGAATTTAAGTCGCACCTTTCTACGCTAAACGTACAGGGCAAAGAAGGGTGTGCGACGTCCTACTTATGTCAATGTATTGAAGCAACTTGGCTCAGACCTGAAAATGGGCTGCGACTTATAATCGGGGAATTACGATTGCTGAGAGTCTGCAAGAGAGTCATTCTCCGGGTTTCTTCTCTCTGCAAACAGGAGCCTGGCTTATCTAGATGAACATGCTTCAGCCATGCCATCATCATCAGCACGCGAGCAACCAGTTGCTGTGCCGGAGAGGTTCCCCGCAGTGCCCAAGGCAAGACGGGGTCTTTTTGTGGCCAGCCAAGAGCCCGTGCTGAACAACCGAAAGCAGGGGAAATCCGGAATCAAGCATGTAAGTGTGCTGTGACAAACAGCTGGGGCTGTAGCTATAGACATTAGGTATGTTTTAATTGGAAACATTGAAAACGGTGGGGCACAAGTAAACCATCTAAACTAAACCTAACTAAACGCGATTTTGGAACAGTCAGGCATGCACATAGGTAGCACCAGACTGAATATGACGTTTCCAGTTATTACTTTCCTTGGCTCACCATCCGAGAACTTACCAAGTATTTTAGTACTATTCACCCAGTCAGTACACTTACTCTCACTTTTGTCTTCTTGCTGCTAAACTCTCTCTCTCTCTCTCTCTCTCAACACTGAGTCACTGAATATTTGGTTGTTGGTGACATGGGTACCCACCTGTCAGTTGCACTATTACGTACACGTGGTATCAGTATACTCTACAGTCAAATCTTTCCTGGCCGGGACACTAACTAACGTTCAGATGGTATTTGTTCGGGATAACGGGAGTTCTTCTCATCCGTATCTTATACCCAGTGGTTACACAGTGATTTATCACATAGACTTATGAATAGCAGTTCTTCTGGAGCGGAAGTTTGTCTTATCAGTGTTTTTTTCTTCTTTCTCAACGAGGTATCAGTGTATGAAAATCGTTGCATAAGTGAACCTGCTACAGTAGTATGGCATTAGATAAACCTTGTTTTTGTTTACATAATGTGTTGATAGTTTGACATCTACCAACCGTGTGGATGGTTGCAGAAAGGTCACTGTTTCCAAAACCCGGTGTCCTCCACCTTATTTCATGCTGCTGTCAAACCATCACCACACTAGTAATATGTACCGTTGTGATGCTGTAGTAGAGGGAATGTTGCTGCTCTTTTCTGATGGCTGTGTTGCAGAAAGAGTCAGCGGTATTCAAGCAAGGCTTTGGCACACAGCTCATGTTCAAGGGCTTCCAGCACGCCGTCCACCAGTCCTCGCGGGCCTCCATCACGCAGCAGGCGAAGGCCGAGCTATCTCGCGTGGAGCTGGAGACACTGAACTACTACCTGGACGAGTACGGGGAGCACAAGCTGACAGTGCGACAGCTGGTCAATGCGCTCATCATACTGCTAGATACCGTGGGCAAGGTGAGAGACTTGAGCTAATGTAGCAACCCCCGACACAGCGTGTGTCCACGCAGTAAAGTTAATATTCTTGCGCAACGTTTTTTCGGTAACAAAAACCACCTGCAGCCAACTGCCCTTCAAGGTGTGTGCAGTCGCTATTGTGTATGTTACGCTGTATGCCAGTATATGTGGAGCGAGAACTCCTATAGTTCCATGCATTCTTTCTGCACCCAGTGTACAACTTGGTTGCAGCATAATGTTTAGTGACCGAAACCACAAAGCCGACTGCAGCCAACCACGTGAATGATGACCTCGAGTATAGAGATTCTGCGATTGCATCACCAGTTGAAATGCTTTGGCAAAGTTGCGGTGCAGCGATACAAGCGACTCACTCTGGATGCTTTGTGCCCATAAACGGTTCCGCTGTATGCTTACCACCAAGAGTAGATAAACAAGAGTGTGCAACTCCCGGATCCGCGCGGATGGGTTGGCCCACGGCGGACTTTTTGTTGACGTAATCTTTTCGACCACCCACGCGCTGCTAGTCTTTTGGTGAGTTTTGCCTCGTGCACTTGGCCGGGCTTACATTACAATGTCGGTGCCCAGCACGTGCTCTCACACTGCTCTGCGGCAAGAAGCGCGTTTTCTGAGAAAAGGTGACGTCAACAAAAAATTCCGCCATGGGCGGGTATCAGGAGATTGTGCAGGAGAGATCCGGAGTTGCGCACTCTTGTTTATCTACTCTTGTTACCACCCATAAGCGGTTCCGCTGTATGCTTAACGCCCATAAGCGGTTCCGCTGTATGCTTAGCGCCCATAAGCAGTTCCGGAATTCCGCTGACTCGTCATGATAACTCCTTTCACACCGCCTCTATAACAACAATTTGCTGTCTTCTACGCAACCTTCAGACCTGGTCACCATTTGACTGTATATTTGGAACCCCATGGACAGCGACGACTCGCGAATAATGACAATTCTCTCGTGCCTGATCGAAGGTCGTTCTAACTGTTATGCAGGATTGACTGCAGTTACGACTAGCATGTGCACATACAGTACTGTCGGGGTGCCGAAGAATGAACAGCCTAGAATTTCACCAAGCACAGCATACCCAGGGGCGTCGGACACGGTACGGTCACTACGGTATTGACCGTACCACTTTTTGCCCAGTCACCCTGTGAATAAATAAAATACACTGATTTGGGCAAACAAATTCCAAACATTTCGGCTCGGCCACCCCTCCCCCACGAGTAATTTGTATTTCGGGTGGCTGACCGTACCACACTAAAAATACCTTCAGACGCCTCTGATAGCAATGTACACACGGTGATTCAACTGTGCATAGACTGTAGTACATGAAAATTAGAATGGTCTCGGGTAGGGGGCTGACCCCCCCCCCCCATTTTTCGGCGACCGACTGTACTGTATGCAATAATCATCCTGACGTGTCCAATGCTTCGAAACCACAGCAAATGCACCCTTTACCGCTGAACAGTAGACCCGGTGGTAAACATAGGCGAAGACCCTTGCTTGCACGCCTGCCCTAGCCAATCAACATGTGTCAAGATCAAACAATAATAAGAGGATGAAAAAGTGTCTTTACTCCGAGTTTCACGCACTAAGCGATCATCAGAAAACAGTAATGGGGAAATCTGTGTGTCGCCAAGATCCGATGTCGATGGTGTGTTTGTGTGTCTGTGTGTGGCAGAAACGTCTGTTGAACTCGATACGAACAGTGGTGCAGCCAAAAGACATCGATGAGTTTGAGAAGCTAGTGGCACCGGTGGAGTACCAAGCTATGAAGGTTAGTTGCAATTAGCAGGAGTACATGAAAACCGGAGTATGAGGCTTGGAGCCTTTTCTGCTATGTGTCTGTCACGGCGGAATTCCGTGATTACATCATATTTGGCATAGATCTGAGGAGGGAAATGGCGTAGTGCGTACAACTGAGCTGCAGTTGTGCAGAAAGAGACCTGATTGAATCCTGCTTGTACGCACTACATCACTAAAATGATGTAATCACGGAATTCCGCCGTGACAGCAACCCATCCGAGCTGCACACTCTGGTTTTCATGTACTCTTGCAATTTGTGGTGTGCACGGGTAGTCGGGTACCCGTGCTACCCGTGAGGACCTCGGGTAGACGGGTACAGAATAGTACCCGAAAACCCGAAGTCGCAGAAGACATCAAGTACAGTGCACATGTACAAATTCATGTAATACTCCGCATGTCTACCCAGTGTGTAAGGGAAGGGGTGCATTGTGGTGTTACCATGGAAACATTACCCGATCGGGTGCCCGTGCTACCCGTGTAAAACTACCCGATACCCGAAGAAAATGCTGCCCGACTCAACACTAGTTGCAATTATAGTAAATAGGTGTGGACAGTCAGATGTTTCTTCAGATGCTCTCCCGGTCATCAGCACCCTCAACTCAACAATATTTATCCATGGTATAATTCCTCCTTGTGCAGGACTCGCATTTGGCAGGTGGGAGCAGCGAAGCACTTCAGAACGGCGGCGTCATAGATCACTATCAATTTGGCACTTCCACGTTTGGCCACACTATCACCACTGCTGATGATGATGATAATGGCACTGAGGATGATGACGCCCCCGGTCCGCTGAGAGAGGACGGTGAGGGCCGAGCGGCCATGTACCAAACGGACGACTCCGACAGCATCGACTGCAACCCGTCGCTCTCGCATCAAAACAGCCAGATGATTGTTCCAATGGTAAGTGCAAAGATCAACTAAAAGCCGGCATGGGTACAGTCAGCATATTTCTAGGTACTGCAACAATTTTCACAAAGATTTGCACGAACGATCGACTTTCCGCAGAGGTTTCAGGATGAAAGTATGTTGCTGCTGAGGCTCATGAAGGTGGTTCCGTATCGGTGTGTGTATGTGTGTGTGTGTGTGTATGTGTGTATGTGTGTGTGTGTGTGTGTGTGTGTGTGTGTGTGTGTGTGTGTGTGTGTGTGTGTGTGTGTGTGTGTGTGTGTGTGTGTGTGTGTGTGTGTGCATGCATTCTGTCCACTGTTCTAGACCGCCTCTCAACAACTAGCCGTTGAAGACCAACTGCATGCCAGACTGGGCTCACTACTAGCCGTCGAGAGCGAGCAGGCAATGGGCGAGAGAATGAGCAGAGGCGGCACACTGCAGTACAACGAACGGATGGTCGTGAACGAAGTGGACGAAATACTGGAGGGCATAGAGCAATTAGAAACCGATTCGGACTCGGCCTCGATTGCCGGGGAATACGACGTCGCTGGTCGCACGGAGCCGAAGCACCCGAATGATGTCGGCATAGCAACAGCATCCAGCACTATACACATGGTTCAGATGGCGCCGAAACGAGGGACTATCCCTCAAGCCCCACCACTACCGCCTTCACTGTCACCAGTCAGTGCCGGCAAAGACTCGCCGTTAGTACACCCGGCCGTCCAAGCGCTCAAGCCTCCCTCCTCTGCTCGCCAGGCACAGGCGGAGAGCCCGTTTGTGGAGCGCCGTGACTCGCCGCGTAAGATAGTGCAGAGCCATCAGGGACAGGAAGGGGACAGAGCGGGTACACTGGACGGCGCTGCACTGGATATACCTCTGTTCACGTCCACGCCGCTGCACGGGTAAGCCATTGTTCAACATAACATGCTATTGCTACACACGCACACACGCACGCACACACAGAGCACATAAGCGTATGGTCACACACACACACACACACACACACACACACACACACACACACACACACACACACACACTTGTACTTGTTGCTCCCTGCCAAAACTGGTCACGTGAGTCCCCCCGGGAGAGGGGAGAGAGACTCAAAAGGAATCTTGGAAAGATGACTCAATTGGTTATTGAACCGCCCAACGGCCGACACCCCCTGAAATCCCCAAAACTCTGGGTAGACTTGAAAACACACACACACACACACACACACCTGGCCTGGTGTACAGCTGCCAAATGCTTGGCCACGCCGCCCCCGAGACAGAGGAGAGTAGAAGAGAGAGTTCGAGAGAAGTCAGCACTGCTACTAGGAAGCCGCTCCGCCACGACGCCGTCCACGATTGCAATTGTGTCGCCGAAAGCCAGAAGCAGATTTAAAACAGCGATCACAGGTAGCGCAGTGCTGGTTGCAACACGGATGGCTGGTGATTGGTATGCGCTGGGGTGTGGGCGGTGATGCCGGGGCGGGTGTTGTGCACTTGTGCACAGCAAGTCCGCCGGCACTTCGGAACCACCGAAGGCAGGCATGGCATTGACGTGCGTCCGGCTGTTCCGCTACAGGCAGCTGGCGATCAGCAGAACATGTGTGTCGTCCAAGTCCAGATTTGCTCTTGAATGTCCGTTTACATACCAGGCAAGAGAGCGGTACCGGGGCAGGACGCTGCACACGAGTGCGGTACACATCTCTCCATTGCTGATGATCCTGGGCCAGAGTAAACCATTCATCAATTACACACACACACACACACAGCACACATACATATGCACGCACGCATGCACTCACGTGCCCCCCGCCCCTTTATACACACGTGTGCCACATACACTGTTCCAGAAGTGGAATCCTGTATGTGTATGTCTGTGTCTGTGTGCGTGTGTTTGTGCTGTGTTTGTGTCTGTGTTTGCGTGTGTGCGTGTATGCATGTCTGTGTCTGTGTGTATGTGTATGTGTGTGTATTTCCTCGCTTTCCAGAGTCACTGACGCAGGCGATGGCCTAGCTGAACCCTCTGACATCAGTGTGGATATGGCTAGCAATGACAGGAGTGAGGCTAGCGAGGCACACGACGCACTGGTGGACACTGTGCGACAGCGACGTCTCCGTATTCAGCCGGAGAGCACGTACGTTGACTTGGCAAAATCATTGCACCGGCTTCGTCCTGGTGATATGCGCTATTCTCCTTTCTATCACCGTAGATTTTCATTGTTTCCTCTAGTTTGCAAATCATGTATCTGTTGTCTAGGCAAGAACGGATTATTACCCTTTTGCGACCACGCCAAACAATAGGCCAACAGATTCGGTTAGAAAGAGTATACAGTGGTCCCTCTATAATCCGGCACCATTTGTGCCACGAAAATCTGCTGGATTAGGGAGGGTGCTGGATTAACAAATCTGATTTACTGCTGCAATGTACATGAAGAGGACATTTTGGCTACTGAAAATTGTGCTGGTTTATCGAGGGTGCTGGATTATAAAGTGCCGGATTAGAGAGGGACGACTGTACTTTAATCTTACTGTGATGAGACGATTAGACGAATGACCCCGAGACAAATCTATGCATCTGTAAACTATTCAAACATTGGGAACTGCTTCTCCCAATGCCGTAGACATCCTCCTCCTCTCTGTACCTAAAATGTCTGTTCGCCCAGCCTGTTCTTTCGCCCTCATGCCTGAAATTTGGATCGCCTAAAATTTCAGAAACTCGTTTTCAGTTTGGTATAAAAATTGAGAAAATTGAAAACAAAGACATTTTATGTTGGTTTCTCGTGGCCATTGCATGGGCAGTTCCATTAATTTCCCCGTTTGTTGCTGTTATAATGCTTGCTGCACAGAGGCAATATTCAGTCCCTTCTCGGAGAGACAGCAGCGGATGAAACAGACGCAACGCTCGGCGATGGTGGAACAGCAAGTGTTGCCATTGACAACACGGACACGCGTACCGAAACGACAATACTGCCGTCGGACGCCGGCTTCAGCGAGCCGGTGTCGACGAGCACGAGTTTTGATCTCCCCGACGGTGTCAATCTACAGACAACGTACGTGTATAACGACACAAGCGAGATAGGACCGGCTGAAATACGCTACACGGACACCGAGTTTTAGCCGGGCAGCCCATGATTTGAGGCTGACAATACCCAATCTACAAACAACCCACTTTTATAAGGATACAAGCGAGGTAGGGCCGGCTGAATTACGCTACACGGACACCGAGTTTTAGCGCAGCCCGTGATTTGAGGCTGACAATACGTTACTAGTATCTCCAAGTGTTGTACCTTCATGGTATTGATGGTGGGATGGTCATAGTGGTGATGGACGGACACTGCTACCTTTTCACAAGATTCTTTTCACACAGATGTACTTCAATAATTCAGTAATACTTTTCTTGAATCGATACGCTGGTCGCATTCTATAAAATTTTAATTATTTCATCCAGGCGAGTGCATATCCCTGAACCATAGATAGAGAACACAATATTTCCTTGTAAGAATTTCAAGATGTGTTCCTTGATGATAGTAATAATATCTTGAGCAACATTGTCAGGTAGTATTTGATTTTCTAATGTAATATTTGCTGTATGAGCCCAGAAGTAAAATTCTGTACTCACGGAAGCACCATGTACCGAATTTTGTATTAATTTCCCGTTGAGAAAGCGTGCACTTGTCAAGCTGGATATTCCTGCTACTCCTGTGCCCATCCTGTGCAGAATAGGGTGGGTGCTCGAAAAGACCACACGCCAGCCATGCAGGCTATGTACTATACATGAAGCACAAACTGATGTTAAAGTGCAATATTCTAAATCCAGAATTTGCGCTTTGTCAATTGAGCATGTAGCTGTAAACGAGACAGGAAGTGTGCTTGGCTAGCAGTAGTAAGTCCTACGGAAATTGCGTATGGAGTGACCTAGTGATGGCGGCCATCTTTATACAATACGCTGGAACTCTAAACTATGTACCCTCATGGGCAGCAGGAAAGTGTGCTTAGTACCCGGGGGGGGGGGGGGAGACTTTGTGTCAAAGCATCCTAGTACAATGCTGCTTAGTGAAATGCAGTCGATGAACTCATGTACCGTATTATCTCTAATATAAGCACGGTCCTTTATTTTTTCAATGTACCTCCGCCCCGTGCTAATGATTAATGGAGACGTTCCTTTATTGGAGACTGTTCCATTATTATTTCAACCTCATTTCAGAGGCATGTTGCCATGCCCAATTCATGTCAAATACACATATTTCAGGGTTTTTTTCGCCGGTACAGATAATGAATTCACACAGTATGCCGTTATAATGGAGACTGAGCACTTTATTTTTTGAATGCCGCCCCAAGGTGTTCTATTATTGGAGACGTGCTATTATTGGAGACTGTGCTTGTATTAGAGATAATACGGTATGCGCCGCCGGGCGCTGCGCAGCCCTACACAGTAGGCCTGCGAATACTGGGCTTCAGAATGGTGCAAGGTGCAAACTTGAGCGCCGCGACTGGACTTCATTGAGTGGCACTGTAGTACTTCTGTATGCCTCACTACACCCGTGCTGTGACCCTGTGCTGTACTCAACGGGATACCATGCATATCTCATCAGGGTTCAGTACGTACCAAGTGAGTCACATAACATACACCACTAAAGTACCAGAGGAGAAAACACGTCCTTTTTTCAACGAATAGATGAATATCCTTCTGTACATGCACATGCATGGAGAATTATTAATTATGATTCTATGTACAAAACTGAATAGAATAATTATAGATAAATTTGAATTTTTTTAAAAAACAAGTAAATAAAATTGTTATTCCCAGTTCTCGGTCTGGCTCTTCACAATGCAATCACGGAAACATGAGAAAAAGTGACCATCGTCATGGAATATCGTCAAGAATTTCTAGTTTGAAAATAGAATTGTCCACCCCAAGAGCCACCAATAAATTGCAGGGGGTGCTGACTGGTTTCGAGGCACCCGCTGTTGTAGTAAATGCCAATTCCCGTCTCCAGGTCACAACATATTGCAGCAGTTCCTGTGAATTTGGAAGAGGTTTGGAGTTGCGTTTTATTTACCACAGCAACGCTGGAGCATCCTCTATGTCCTCGACGACCAAGTCGGCTTGTCGAGCCATGTCCGGAGTGTCGTCGACCTTGGGCTCGGCTTTCTTGGTTGGCGTTGCGGCTGCTTGTTGGCGCCACGAAGGCACTTCTACATCGGCCGCTGCCGGCTCCTCCGCCTTGTCCGACAGCGACTTGGGCTGGAATGCCTGGAAGCCGCTCACTGCCCCACTGGCACCACCCTTCTGGGTAGCGATGGACGGTACTGAACGAAGACCTCCGGAGCCCGGCGCTGGTGGGCCTGCAACATGAAAAACGCAAACAAAGGCAACACCGTAGTAGAAGTTGTGAGTCTTCCTGTAGCTTCATCCACAGGAAGTAGTTAATTTTATTTTATTTTTTACTATTAGCACAGCCCTACAGGAAAACAGGTGGAAAACAAAAAGAAAGAGCAGACATGCTCTTTCCCACTCGCTCTGTAATTGTATCGAACTCATTTTGATCAATTCTTATGTTCCGGGAAATTTGCCCTCATCGGGCTTGCAAGGGAACGGGATCAGATAATCTGACCTCATCACTAGCTGACCGTTTCTTTAGAGTGCATTGACGTTACAGTCCAAAGTGTGTTGGCGTGCATTGAGAGGCTGTGCATAATCAAGGATCCTTTTTGACCACACAAAGAGCGTCCGTTGATGGGTGGACGAGCCGGAGCCTTGGAGCAGTTCGTTGTGGTGAACTCGAGTGCATCAGGCTGTGTCAACAAATGAAGGGAGGCAAGCATTCCGGGTGTGCTTGTGTACTGATATAAGCGCATTGTGGAGCAGAAACGAGGCATTCGTGCAATAACCAGCCCGGAGATTCTGGCAGGGTCTAGAAAGGTTCTGTAAATGACGTCATTGTGTATGCTGCACACATACTGTAGCGTAACAAACCAGATTTGTGATAGCACTCTATGCCAATGGCTTATACCGGTAATCATGATGTCATTGTCTAATAATTATATGGTTGATGTTTACCTCTGTCTGGGACCTCTTCCTCCTCCTCCTCTTCTTCATCAGAGCTGGTAGTTCTCTCGAACGTGTGCACCGTTTCCAGGTTGATCTCGTCGAATGATACCGCCCGGTTGCCCTGCGCAGAGAGAAACATGTCAGTGAATTAACGCACAGTGAAACCTGTCTAAGACGACCGTTCAAGGGACCTTCAAACGTGGTCTCTGTTACCAGGGGGCCTCCTTATTAAGGCTTAGTTGGGTAGCATTTTCTTCGAAAATCAGGTTCGGGTAGTTTCCACGGTTAGTACGGGTACCCGATCGGGTAATGTTTCCATGGAAACACCACAATGCACCCCTTCCCTTACACACTGGGTAGACATGCGGAGTATTTACATGAATTTGTACACATGCACTCACGGTACATGATGTCATCTGCGACTTCGGGTTTTCGGGTACTATTCTGTACCCGTCTACCCGAGGTCCTCACGGGTAGCACGGGTACCCGACCACCCGTGCATACCACTACTCCTTATCCAGGGTCATTTGACTGGAAATAGCATCCCTTGGTCCTGGTTTCAGTTGTTTTCTTGGACAGGTGGTCGCCTTATCCGAGTGCTCGCCTTGACAGGTTTTACTGTGGTTGAGCAGCACCTCTAAACTTTTCTTCCTCTGATGAACAGTGTCTAAGTCCAGTAAAACCTGTAACTAAAGACCACTGTGACTAGCAACCAGCCTGGTACTACAGTAAAACCTGTAACTAAAGACCACTGTGACTAGCAACCAGCCTGGTACTACAGTAAAACCTGTAACTAAAGACCACTGTGACTAGCAACCAGCCTGGTACTACAGTAAAACCTGTAACTAAAGACCACTGTGACTAGCGACCAGCCTGGTACTACAGACCGCTTCGCCAGGCACGGACGGTCTCACATTCAATTATGGTTGTGTGTGCTGCAAACCTCTAACTAAGGACCACCTGCCACTAAAGACCGCTTTCTCTGGCCCCAAGGAGTAGTTGTTAGTCACAGGTTTTACTGTACATGGCTTGTGCTGCTCACTGAAATTCAATCACGCGAGTCAATGTCACATTGAACGCTGGGTAGCGCTAGACCTGCGAACACTGGGATGGCGAACTGGTGCACAGTGCAGGGGTTTATTCACGCGATCATATTTCATCGAGCAGCTCTGTACTTTCATTCGCCAGTTGTGCACAGATGAATGAAATTGGTGGTTGGATTCCCACAATGGAACAGAGACAAGACTTTCATGACAGAAGCGGAAGTATTGCCAAGGCTTTCCAACATTGCATTTTGACTAAGGTAAGGAAATGCGAAAGGCCGAATACACATAAGGTAACATTGTGAAGAGTGTAAAGCCGTTTGGAGGTGTTAAGCCAGTACGGATTGATTAGCATGCATCACACGGGACACACACTCTTCAAACATCCTTCCTTCCTTCCTTCTTCCACTGCCATGACTGGCTATGTGGCCCCATACGGGGCAGACCAGGAGACGTGTTGTCCACCGGGCGGGGAACGCCATACTCAGCGCGCGCGGGCCGCGCGAACAGCGTTACACTTGTGCCTCGCAATATCCTGCGGCCGACGAAAACTGCGCGCACAAGTGCCACAGATGAGGGGCTTCGCCACAGGCTCCATGCGGGACTGGACAATAGCGTCGACAGCATCATGGCAGGTGACCCGCCATCCCTGTCGATCTTGGACGATGTCACCAAGCTGCTCCAGAGGAACGCCAACAGCCATCAAGTCGCACTTCGCGGAGTCCTTCCAGCGCTTACGGGGTCCATGCGGTGGACGTTTGGAGGGTAATGCGCCGTACAGCAGCTGACGAGGGATCCCATCTGGCATGCGGGAGACGTGGCCAAGCCATCGAAGTCGGCGGACTCTGACTTTATCCGCGATCTCCTCCATATCGCCCCACATCCTGCGAACCTGGAGAGAGGAGATGTGCTCCTCGATCTGCCGGCCACGATTTATCTTCAGGATGGAACGCACGCACTGCAGGTGAAAGGACTCCAGGCGACGGACATCACGCTGCCTGACGGTCCAACTCTCAGATCCATAAAGAAGGACCGCCAGGACAGTCACTCCATACACGATGCGCTTGATGGCGATGCTGAAGTCATCACTGGCGAAAACCGACTCCCGCAGTGTACAGAACGCACCCGATGCAGCAGCAACTCGCCGAGACACATCAAATGAGCTCCGGGCGTCTGGCGTAACATGACAACCGAGATAGCGAAAGGCCTCAACGTGGTCAACAACACCATCCAAAGGGGTCTGGTCGGCATCCACAATACCAGCCCCAGCCGCCATGAATTTGGTCTTGGACATATTGACACTAAGGCCAAACGCACCAGCTACATCCCTGAACGAGGATAGAGCCCTCTCAGCACCAGCATGTGTAACTGCGAGCAAGGCTGAATCATCCGCAAACTGACACTCCGTCAGCCGAACTCTGCGATACTCTGCCAATCTGGTGTTGAAAAGCCGCTCCCTCCGAAACTGGACGAGTGGGATCCCCAGCTCACCATCATCAGCAATCACGCCACGCCATCTCTCGAAGACTGCACACATGTATAGGTTAAACAAAACTGGGGCCATAGTACAACCCTGCCGCAAGCCATTCTCAACCCGAATCGGTGCAAGCAGGTCTCCACCCACACGAATACTGGCAGTCATGTCGCTATGGAAGGAACTGATGATGGCGATCAGACTCCCTGGGACGCCAAGTCTAGCCAACACTCTCCACATAGCACTCCGCGGAACCGAGTCGTACGCTTTCTTCAGATCGATAAATACAGCGAAACCTTTCGTGGCATGTTCGTGCAACTTTTCCAGGATCTGCCGCACAGCAAACACCATATCCGAACAACCACGGCCCCTGCGGAAACCACACTGCGAGTCAGGCAAGCACCTTTCTCCGAGAACCTGCAGACGATTGGCAATCATGCGACCAACTAGCTTTCCAGCCACATCCAGTAACGATATCCCACGCCAGTTGTCGCAAGACCCCAGGTCACCCTTCTTGGGGATGGGGACGAGGATAGCATCAGACCAATCCTGTGGAACGCTGCCAGTCTCCGACACCACCCGTATCAGTTCATGCAACCTCGCAATCAGGGTAGGGCCGCCGTACTTCAGCATCTCCACAGATATCTCGGATCCGCCGCATGCCTTGCCACACTTCATCCCTCGCAATGCACGCCAAATCTCATCACACTCAGGCACGACACCAAGCTCCGTCATATCCGGCCGCTGCTCGATCGAATCCACTACCTCCAAGTCGTAAGCACTGGCAATGTTCAGGAGGCCATCGAAATGTTCACGCCACCTTCCACCGGTGGCCTCTGCCGTGTCACAGATCTCTCCTTGCTTGTTTCTGATAGCAGTTGCTGCACGGGGACGCATACCACCCAAGGTGGTCTTAATGTTACCGATACACTCCCAACCGCTCTTCGCCGTCAAGCCAAACCATTCACAATCCTTTGCCTGTCTCAGCAGCCAGTCTCGCTTCAGCCTCCGCATAGTGCACCGCGCCGCACTACGAGATTTCTTGTACAAATCCAGATCACTGGCCTTCCGCGTTGACATCCAGGTTGAGTAACAACTGTCCCGATCACGGAGTACCGACTCGATCTCAGTGCGCTTGTCTGTAAACCATTCTGGCTGTCGGCGCCTCTCCCGACCCAGGCAGTCGCTGGCAACGTTGATGGTGGTCGTCCTGAGGGTACTTCACCACTCCTCGATGGACGGATTCGGGGTCCAAACCTTCTCCAGCTCAGCATCCATGCCCTTGGAGAATCTCTCACGCGCAACCTCCATATCCTCCGGAGCACCACTACGCAGGCGCGACACAGCAATGGGTTTCGATCGCCCCACACCATTGCGGGAGACATGTGAACTGGGCAAGGCACCTAGACGATATTTCATGCCTAGAAACTATGGTCAGTGTCGCATTCCGCATTACGTATTACTTGGCAGTCCAAACACTGCGACCGATGTGCTTGTGGTATGATGCAATAATCAATACAGTGCGGGTGCTTGTAGCGTGGATGAAACCAGGTATGTTTATGGATTTCCTTCTTCTTGAATAATGTGTTGCATACAACAGCTCCATTTCGTGCCAAGAAATTGAGCAGCTCCTCTCCTGCTGAGTTCATACGACCAAAACCATGCTGCCCCCGCACGTCACTCCACTCATCATCCACCTCGCCAACTCCAACTCTAGCAATGAAGTCACCAAGAATGCAATACTGGTCTGACTTTGGAACGCTGTCAATGAAGGTCTGCAAGCTGTCATAAAATGCAGACACACACACACACACACACACACACACACACACACACACACACACACACACACACACACACACACACACACACACACACACACACACACACACACACACACACACACACACACACACACACACACACACACACACCACACACACACACACACACACACACACACACACACACACACACACACACACACACACACACACACACACACACACACACACACACACACACACACACACACACACACACACACACACACACACACACACACACACACACACACACACACACACACACACACACACACACACACACACACACACACACACACACACACACACACACACACCACACACACACACACACACACACACACACACACACACACACACACACACACACACACACACACACACACACACACACACACACACACACACACACACACACACACACACACACACACACACACACACACACACACACACACACACACACACACACACACACACCACACACACACACACACACACACACACACACACACACACACACACACACACACACACACACACACACACACACACACACACAACACACACACACACACACACACACACACACACACACACACACACACACACACACACACACACACACACACACACACACACACACACACACAAAGCATACATGCCCATACACACACACATGTACACATCCATGAAGATCACAGCTCAGCCGTAATCACTTTTCCATCAGCTCCACCTATGATCTGACCTTTTCCTGATGTTGCCGGACACCACTTTACATTGCAAGTGAACTAACCTGGCCGCCGAAAGTTGATCATTCCATAGTAACGGGTCGAGATCTTTTTGCCACCTTGACATCTTTGCACAGCAAAGCAACAAGAAGTAAGCAGGTGTTACTGATATGATATTAATTTTTTTCCAGAATTCATCATTGACTACTTCTGGTAGATGATAGAGAACGAACAAAATAGCTCGTGGTAGCAGAAAATTGAGCTACTACAGGTGTG